ATATGACTATAAATGTATGACGAATGAATCGGCAAAAGACAAGATCGGGCGTTCGAAATTGTACATTTTTAATGCCTTCGATCGACCTTCGTTCCGCTGAAGTCTGGAAGTATAACGAACAAATAGGAGCTTTAGCATTGCACTAACAATAAATTCGAGCGAACAGATCACAACTGCTAAAAGTTGTATTTGTCATTGATGACGAAGTAATCGATTCGTCTTAAAATGGAAAATGTTAGTAGGTTGACTATCTATGACGGCTAACAAATACGAAAAAATACATTTTGTTTTGAGAGACAATGCAGATATTGTCGTGAGCAAAAAAAAAGGAAAAATCCTGTACAAGATGTATTTAAGTTATATCTATTTAAGGAAAATGATTTACAATGATTGGTTAGTGGGTTTCAAACCCAAGGAAGGCTGACACAACTGTGGGTCCATTCATAATCTATTATAAGCAAAACTTCTTATAAAGTAAATTACGCATAACCGTAGAACACGAGGAAATGTTAGGCATGCTTCAAGCGTGACCTAAAAGTTTAAGAACGCGTCGCTTTAGAGTAAAATAAGGACTTATTCACCAATACTTTAGTAACCAGTGTTGGATACTTACGAACATACCAAATGTAAGTATGGCCTGCTGTACCTGCGAAGTCACATAGATGATTTTTTCTCATCCATCATGTAACCATGTATAGGCCAAGAGGGGTTCACATGGCCCACCTAAAAAATACAAAATGATTGACGGAAGGCTCTCGTTCCAGCCAGTAAGACGACTGATGCCTGAATCCAAGAGATTTACACTATTAACGATTCGTTGCATTCGTCCATAATCAAACACTCAGATAAATAGGCGCACAGTAAACATCAAACAAATATTATCAATGTTTGCTTCTTGTGTTCCTCCACGTTATTAGCAAGGTATTAAAGCGCACCTACAGAAGATGTAGCGATCGCAAAGATCCGCTCGCGACGACGACCGATGTTTTGGCGCCCTCGTTTACAAAAGAAACAAAGTGATAATTCGGTTTATTAAAAACGTTCGATTTTTCAGAATTAGTCCACAATTTATTCAATACGGAATTCTTTTTCGTTCGATGAGAATTATTGAAAGTATGAATATTGTGTCCTTTCATTTTTTTATTCGTCTCCATCGATTTTTAAAGCAATTTATATTGCTTTGTTCTTTTCTAGTGGTTAAGTAACTGCGTTTCTGTTCTGAGCTGAGCACATAGCGTGTTGCGCATGGAGTCACGCGAAAAAAACTGCTAAAACAACCGAATTCAATTGGCGTTTAATCGTCGATGCCACCAACGGCGGTCCAGATCTAACGGTTCTAGAAAATATTGCAATTCAGGAGGGGGCAACTTTACTGTGGACCTCCTTGCTCAGTTTTTCGAATATCTACTACCCTATTTATTTGTACGATTACAGTTACAACACATATGCGCGCAGTTCTAATATATTCGGATTATCCAGGCGGAAGAAGAAAATTTAGGTGAACATTTGCCAGCGGTAGAAAAGTTCATTTCTACATCGTTTCAATATACGTTACTGTCGGGACTACGTACGCTAAGGAAAATGCGAGATAATGATACAAATGAGATATCGAGGAGATTTGTGTGCTACAGACCGCGACTCGTTTAAACTCTGAGAAAAAATCGACTACTAGTATATACACTGTTTGAAGTTCGTGTGGATAATTTTTAGAGACGCCATCTAATTCTTACGTACTACAATACTGTCATTTTCGAAGTATGTTTCGGTTACTCATTGTGATGGATCTGCTACTTAAGTTACACATAAAAGTACGATGGTAGTTCCAATTAATCTGAGACGACAAATTTGATCATAATTGCCCTGCCAGCAATCAAAACAGGCCTGAAATGCCTTTGACTGCAATTTACATTGTGGCACCGCTCCGCTCCCTTTCTCCATATTTTTTTTGCATGTAGAGAAAACAAATAATAATTTTGAAACCTTTATCATATTCGTAATTTAGATGATTACTATTATCACTTTTACAAGACACAAAGCATTCAGATCACAGACTCAGTGTCTACGTTCGGTTCAGTCTTGATTTATGGTTTGGGGCTTTTGCGAGATTCCTTTGCCAGTGCCCCGTACCTAGCTAACGGTAAATAACAGCCAGTAATACGCCTCTTTATTATCATCATTATCGACACCCTTTGTGGGGGTTTCACAGCTTTACGGTTCGTTCCATTTCAGCTGAACTGCAGCCGCCATCACTACCGCCATCGTAGCTACTTTAATCGAAAACAACAGATAAAAAAAACATGGCACAAAGTTCCTCTTCTGCCATTTGTCAGTAGCTGCTTTTCCTGTGTCATCGGATTTGTGGTGCAAGTGGAGCCAGCGTCGTGATGGCTTTCAATGATACTACTACTCCTAGCAACACTACGATCTTTATTATTATACAATTGCTTCTTCTGTTGCCATTGATACTTCGTTGCATTTCTGTCGTTATTTGCGGTTTTTTGGCCGCTGCTGTTGCGTGAAAGGATGCAAAAGGTCTTCCTTATCAATGAATATTAAGCTACGTCGATTCGCTCGATCTTTGCTTCTGTCTCCACTTCCTGTAATAACGAGCTGATTACGATCTTGCACTCGAGAAGAACGAGACAGCAGATTTAATAACATTGCCGGCTATTACAGTAGGTGTAAGGAAGGCGACCGGGACTTAGAGCTCGATCATTTGCCGGATGAAGGAGGTTCCGTCAATTTTTCCGTTGATCTATATATACATATACTTGATATAGCACGTGAGGTCTGTTACAGTAAAGCCCCCCAACGACCTAATTACTACATTAACTCAATTTAAAATAAGTCATTAAAGTTATCAGTAAGGATTTAGCTTTCTTAATAACACTCTGGGTTAGAAGGCTCTCCAGGAGGATTTCGTGTCCTTTCTACCTCGTCATCTTTGCAGATGTAAAGTGGACATGGTATTGAATGATTTTCTCTGGGTAATTTTTACGAATAGAGCTAACCATCTCAATCGAGAAAGAAGAACTTTTCATTCAAAGCTTTTGTATATACACATATATAAAAATATGAAACGAATTTTAACATTGAAGAGTGACGGACTTCTTGAATAAAAAAGATCAGCCAGCCAAAGCCACAAGTGTCACATCGGAAATGTGGCCGATTCGGAGGCCGAGAACTACCTTTTGTTGTTGTTTACGTGACGTAATGTGTTCTTGAATTTAGTGTCTCAAAAACGGCACTCACCGATTGCGCATCAATGGCGCGTGAAGAAGTCGGTCGCGTACTAGGAACGATGGGGCAATGTCACCAGCCCTTTGTACAGGGACATGATAATAACGAATAGTACCGCAGATAATACAAACAGCAAGTCGGTTAGAAGTCGGAACTCAATCCCGTTTTACGCGTTCGCATACAAAACGGAATCGGAGACCGCAGCTATCGAAAACAGAAAAACAAATTCTTTGTTGCCATTTTCTCTGTTCATAATGGGCCATATTATGTAACAAACTGTATGTACTTTGTCGACTGTAACTGATTCTTGTCGATGGCATCTCGTAAGCAGATTGTGTAGAAAATAGAGAAGCCTATCTTTTCTGCTAGTCCCGCTTACGAATACGTCCATTGAAAAATATTGGTCGAAAGTACATAGTGTTGCTGAACCGTGTCGCACCAAGTTATCCATCTTTGCGTGATTGAGGATTATTAAGGGTTAAAAATGATAGAAGATCACAGTGAGCAACGGCTGCGCGGAAAGGAGCAAGCCAAGAGTTGAAGTCGAGTCTATTTAGATAAAAAAACTTCAAATTATTTCTAATAATATGAATCTAAGCTGGATGTTCTGCCTTTCTTAGCTAACGTTAGTTGAAAATGTTCTAAAGATGTCATTCCACTGCTGGACGTTACGGTGCACGGTCGAAGACTGTCGTTTGTTTCTTTATTAAATCGGAATTGAATTGAGGACTGTGGCCTGCGCTGAAGGGGTGACGGATGTCTGTCTTGACGATGTATGGTCTGTATTTGACACTTCATTATCGGACCGCAGTTCAGTCAATCGTCACTAATCGGATGATCATCAAACCCTTGCATTGCACAAAACATTGCAATTTTAATACCAAAGACGACACAGAAATTTTGACGATATCTTGTGGCCGAACGAGTGCGATCGGTTTTAACGGGTATCACCTGTTTTTCAACGCTTTCGCCGCATTTACATGTTATCGATGTATCGTCGCAATACAACACAAAGCACGGGACCATCTGGGCAGCCTTGTATTCGTCTGCTACCATAACACTTTCGGTACTGACAGTGTTGCCACAAGTCGTTACTTCCATAGTGGCATGTAGAAGTATGTAGGGCAATTTAATTAAAACTTTGAATTTTTAGGGGTAGACTTGTTGCTTTGACAAGATATATTGTGCTGGCTGATTTCACATGATAATTCGTCATTGTTCAATTGCTCTAAAAAGACAGATAATTCTATTTTATAGAACTTAAATAGATACAAGCACACAAGCAATAATGGGTCACTACTTAAAGGCCTTTTCAACGTGAAAACTAATGTTCACATGGCTTTCGCGTCTGCTCAGCTCAGAGCATTCAAATAATTCGATAATATCGGAAGCACCTTATGAGTGGGTACGTACAAAACTGCATGCCAGCTTTTTCATTGTTCACCGATTAACCTTTCATTTAATTTTCCTTATATTATAACTATTCGTTTTCTTTTTTTATTCACTCGTTGCTTCCATAACTCGCTTAATGTAAGATCAATTCTGTACGGCAAGCCGTAAACGGTCTTACCATTAGTACGCTCACATTTTGACGTTGTCTTATTAGTATATTAAAATAAAGTGTACAATAACAATTAATAAGGATAAGCACAACAGGAAATCAAAGCACACACATATATCGAAGTCAGTTTGCTCTTATTTTAGAATCAATAACAATTTTTTGGACTTCCACAATATGTAGGACTCGTTTGCTCAGCATACGCCTATCTACATGTCTGGTTGTTGTCTTTTACAACTGTTTCTATGTTTCTCGTTACTTCTATCACTTAAAACAAATGCCTTGATCTTGATGGCCGAACAATTTGTCCTTGTTTTTATGCGTAGGGAAATCACCGCCATCCACAGAAAGCAAAGCAGCTGTAGTTCGAAGGCTGAAGTTAAACGCCAGATCAGTGAGCGTCGCTTGCCTCAAATACTTCCACGATACCACAGTAAAAGTTACAAGCAGACCCGCTCCGGCGCAACAGTGTCAAGACAAGCTGTCTTCTGCATCAGATATTAGATTAAAGAACAGGCTATTTGCCGTTTTTTACGTAGTCACCACTACCGAGTGTGCTATCGCCATAAGCGTTGTCCGTCGTCGTTTGACGAAACCGATCGTTGCGTAGGAGTTTGAAGCGGCCGGTGGCTGAAACGCAACGAGTGCCGCACTCCGGCCAGAATGTGCGCGTCTGTAAAAGATACAGTTGTCGAAAAAAAATTAAGTTCATTGAGCATAGCCTCTCTTTATCGTCGGCTTTTCACTAAACGGTGACAGGCACGAGAAGCGTTGTCGTTTACTCCGTCAATCAGTTCGATGATGATGTAGACTGACGCAGACCGTCGAGCAGAACGTTTGCAATGTTCAATTGAATTGCAGATTGTCAACAGTGAAACGTTGGGATGCTCGCAGTAGAAGTCGCGGGAAAAGACACGATGGAAAAGACCCTGGCTTTTTCGTTAGACTAAAACGATCCAACCTAGTGGAGCAAGAATGGGTCAGGAGATCGGATAAAGTCGTGGATTGCTAAAGACGAGATACGCGAAGAAGCCGAACGCGTCATAGCGCACAGATGCAGGTACCGTTGCTAAACGGGATAACGGCAATAGACTCAGGAAGGAAATAAAGCCAACAATTAGAAACGTTCTAAATGCTCAGAACAAATGTGGGGATGATCCGTTGTAAAAATTACGACTATGCGGATAACGAGACACACCTTTTCGTATTAAGCCAATAGAAGATCAATAATGAAGAAATTACAAAACTAGATCGTTGGCATCGCAAGTCCTGCAATTAACTGTTTTCAGTAGACATGTTGGATTTTCTAACAGTGTTTTGATCTGCGCAAAAAAATGGAAATGTAGTGCAGTAGTAGCACTAATGTAATAGTTATGTAGAAAGCGGGAAACAACGGTTAGCATTTCTAAGCATAAGCTATAGCATAAAGTGCGCGCAGAGCTACGCCATAGATCATATCTGGACCGGCCAATCGGCTATTGTTCTTTAATTGCCACGGCAGCAAAGTATGCAGCTCGGGTATATTACATTCGAGCTTTTGGAATGAAAAGCTGTAAGGTTTTTTAATTTCGGGTTTGTTCGTAAATGTCGGTTTGTGAAATGCCCATATATATGTGTGTATATATATATATATATATATTACGGCCAGAATTTAAGTAGTCAACGGCTGCTAGAACGCGATTAGGTTTTGAAGGCTTTAGCCTAATCCTTTACTTCTATATATATACATATATACCGTTTAAAGCTACGTATAGATATACAGATTTAGTTTTGCCTTGAGAACGCAGATAGGATATAGATCAGCGGCATGACAAGACCCTTAAAAATGCCCGGACCCTCAAAACGTTACTCTCTGGTTGTTTGACCAAGCGGGAAGTTAAGCAGACCATTCTACCAGCATCTTCCTGTACCGATAAAGACGCTATAATGGTGACACCCTACGAATACAGCTGTGCCATTACCGAAAGTGCGGACCCGAAATAAAGGCAGTGAAAAGCAGGCTGAGCATAGTTCCTGATACATCCTGAGGAGCTCATCGTAATGAGGGAGGTGGATCCCCCTTCCATGAGTGGCCCATTCGCTACCTGTTTACCCGTCGCCACTAGCGGCTTTGCCGCTTGATCAGCCAGCAGTGGTGTTGTTCATTGTTAAAGCTCACAGTCAGTCCTAGATTGAATATTTCGACTACCACAGCAAGATCCCATTCCAGAGTAGAACTGTGGATGTCCTGCTTTCCGTCCTGTGTATTATGTCTGGTCGCAATTGTTACTCCATGCTCGGTGTCAATAATTCCACCGCATAGAGTCAGATATCGTTCTGTCATCCCGGGGGCGGCTGACTCGATGAGCTAGCCGGCCATCTTCGGCCAGTCATCGTTAACGACCTATTCTTAACGGGGCCCGACCTCTCTCCCCTTTCGTCCCTCTTGCTAGCTGGGTTCGGTTTGAGCAGGAGTCTGACGGTTGACATCTTGCCCGGGTGAAACTTGGCGTTCCGGCCATGACCACCAAGAGACGCGACAGACCCCCCTCCCCCCGCCGAAGTAACAACACGCACGCGCCATCCGCCATGGTGTGAACGATGCCTCCAACGCGACATTAAGGTGTCGTTCACAAAAACATAATCGACGAATCAAACATACAGACGGTCACCGCTACTACCATCAAATTAACGAAAAGAAATGCTGCTTTCGTAGCATAGAAGTGGCCAGAGACGCACTCCGATCGTGGAACATATCTAGGGACGGGGGATAGCATCGTCCGATTATGATAAGCTAGAAAGAGGCTTTATTGTTATTATTAGTTTGTAGAAGTGGTATAATATTATTGTTGTTAGCTTAAGCAGCTGTATCAACGGTCGGTAAAGGAATTGGAAAAGCAAGTTGACGGTGATACACAGCCATGAAATAGCCATAGGATCATGTACAATGTCGTGCATCGGCGTTCATTATATACCGGATCGGAGCAGCACTGCTTAATATATGTTGAAGTCAGTTGAAAGCAGAAAGAAAAACATGTTAGTAGATCACATTTTTATGGTATATATGTGTTAGTCCGAGTTGTGTCAATAGCCATATTCGTTCAGTCTGTCCCAGACGATTGAGTTTTTTAATGTTATCGGGGAACTGAGCGTCCGTTGGCGATCCCGGCTGAGCGTTTATGTGGCATTTTTCGGCGAATGTAGCAAGCATCGAGAAAATTCTTAATAAAAAATAAGCTTTCTCACCTTAAAATATTGCCATTCAACACGACTTTCACAGAACACTATATATTACTATATCACGAAGAAGATGCTTATGCACTAGATCATAGGTGAACTCATGACGATTGAGGCGACGCAGCGGTGATCTATACGCAGACCATTGTCGCGCAAACGTCAATCGTGGTAAGATTGAAGCTATTTGAAGAAATATTGTCGTCTATGAATGGCGTCGTATACTGTAATCAGAGCAATATGTCTGTATGTTATATCAGTAAAAAACGTTTTGAAAAAGAAACTATCTCAGAGCGAAAAGTATTTTTCGCATCTAACGATTACATACTATGCCAATGTTATGATGTGTGAGTCACTTACGTCCATGAGCTAAATAAGAGTTAACAGCATCTCAAAACGTGTGTATGCTTTTCAAGTAAAGACGACTATTTTTGTGGCGCTTCCTTACTTGAAAAATGTTTTTTATTTTTTCAAAAGACATACAGTATCTTATATGATGTACCTATTAATGTGTACATGTGCTTGTTATGGTATTTTTGTTTATAACTCGTAATAGCGAGACCCATTGGGCCTGCAACGCTGTACATTAATTCCATAATGAAATGTAACCTATCACATTTAGCTAATCTCTAAATTTTACGCTTTTTCGAAACATCTGCCGCGTTCATACGCCGTTTTCTAAAGCGCGCTGTATTCTTCTATGCTGCTGTCAGGTAGAACCTCGTAGCTAAACGCGTTTTAATACTTCTAGGTTTACTTGTATTACAATTGATTCAATCTAAAGAGATTTAGGTCGACTTCACATGTCGTTTTAGAGAACTCACAAAAAATCCTATTCGAAGGTGTACAACATAACTTTGAGTAAATTTCGTCACAAAAATGTCACAGGAATACCACGATCATTTACATGTACATATACTCAACGTGGAGTTACTGCTTATTACTATCGCAGAAACGAAAAGCTGTGACAACATTTTGTTGATTAAATTTTAGGCATCGATTGATGAATGTTTTCCTATGCTTTTTAACCTATGGATAACAATGAAAAGACACAGATTCGCTAACTAAATAATTATACGCAGCTGCCGACGTGTGTGATGAGGCTCAAAATGGTGAAGCATGGGAATCTAGGTACGAAAAATATTCGATCTAATTTCAGTCTGTACTTAGCGAACTCATTAGTGACGGTAACATGTTAGCCAGATTTGTTTTTCTGCAAAAAAAGACAAAGGAAATTTTCTGGGCTTTTCTGTCTCCTACAAGTCATGCTCACGTCCCTCTTTCAACGACTCCATGTTCACGCAGACAAAAAAATAGATGGATACCTCATAAATCTACTCAAAATGTAATCCATAATGTTTGCCTCACTGGCTCTAATACAAAGTTATTTACTTTGCATTTATCGGAAACACACGCACACATACACGTGCATCCACCTGAGAATAAACCTAAATATTTCAAGTTTTTTTTTTTTCTATATACGGCAGCGTTGTTAAACATTCTATCGAACGGCTAGCTTCTAATACGAAACAACGTGTGTACGCACCCTGATTGGAACCCAGATCACCACGTGCCCCCAACACACTACCTGCAAAAAAGACCTTTTGATCTTCTTTAATCTTCACTTTATCGAGCTGTATACTTAATTGAAATAAAATCATCCAAATCCAAGTCATATTGTCTAATCGAAGTCGAATTTGCTGCTGAAGACTAGCTTCGATCCTCCCACCCGGGTTTTAGCGTTGAAGCGGCATCGAACTGCTACTGATACGACTGCTGCTACCAGACCAGTGGTACGTTATGGCAGAGTAGTTGACCATACAGGCGATGAGCTGGCAGCTAGTACGCCTGCGTCTGTACAAATCGACTACGAGAGATGCAGACCAAGCCAACATTATATACACATACGATCCAGTAACGTATCTTTGTTCGAACATATGAGCTGTAGTATGTTATGTTCGATAAGCAAAAACAACGTAAAGATATCAAAATCAGTATGACGATTTGTGGCGTCAGAATATTTGATGAACAACGCGAAGATCCTCTATGCTGATAACGCTCGTTCGCATCTTCCGTTTACGATTATCCATAGGGCCTAAATGAGAGTGTATAAGAATCCTGATGGCCCTGATAATTGTATTGTCGATCTGTGTATTACACCGTTCGATATGTGATGCTTTAAAAAAGAGATCATAGTAATATCAGGAATAGTAATAGATACAGCTTTGCCCATATGCTTGGGACAATAGCTAATCCATTGTACTGATTTCCGGGACGATTTTGCGGCTGACTGTTGCCCACGGCCGTATCTCTATCTTCGATGATATCTACAATGAGTTCTACCGGAATCCAAAGATATTCTTTAAATATTCCCATTTGGATAGTTTGATGGTAGACGTTATCCATACACAGTTTGGGTGGACGGGAAAATAAAAGTAATGCGTTTTGTTACGATCCGCTTAGTATACAAAGCATGATTGTCGTATGCGCGCGGTACTATTTACTATATTGAGATTGCAACACTTTTCTATCAAAAAGCAAAATGCTTTTTCCGCTGTTAATAAGGAGATCAGTGAAACGTATTTGAAGCAGCTGGATCACGGTTGGGCTCAGAACCTTTTGTCCGTCTGCGCAACAACAGTTCCCAACCTGTCGAAGATACATTATAAAACAATTAACTGCATACGGTGTCGATAAGCATAAAACAGAGATGCGTTGTTATGCATTCTATTTACGTCCGATTATTTCATCCTTTACGCTAATGAAGATCATACGAGTACCAACTAATCTAAGTGGCAAGCGTAGAAAAATTGTGGCGCCATTTCAAAATATTCACAAATATATCACGAATTTGTCTACGACGTAGTTTCTACGCATCATCTTCAAAGGTGGACGTTAACTTGATCGTAGCGTGACGTGCTTCATTCGTACTTCAACTTCAACACCGAGTTCTATTGCACATTCAGCACTAAACGAACACGCACACTCATGGATATTGAGTCCTTAGGACATATACTACTGAACCGAATTCTGTTTGTCCAAAAGGGTTTCATCTTTCCTGGCGTTACTTCTATTACGATGACGACGGCGATGACTGCCATTTCGCAGTACAATGCGATCTTTCGCGTCTGCAGTGGCCCACACAGGGGCGATCAATCGCACGACGCAGACAACTTGGATGTTCGTTTAGCTGTGAATGCCGATAATGGTTTTCTGATGAAACGGGGTTTGTGACGAGCGCCCCGACAACGCAGGAAATTATCTAGAGGGATCGATGCGCAACGGTATGACAACAGGTGTCCTGAAGGATAGAGCGAATAGTATGCATGATTGGTGGTCGTGTTACAATACCACACTATACTTAGTGAACTTAAATATTATGTTTATTAATTACCGAATCTTTTACGAATGGTGTATATTTGGAAGTGGTGCATGATTATGTATATTTAAAAATGAGTGATAATTTCAAGTGAGAACGGAAATTGTCCTCGAAGTGCTACCAAAGTACATAGACTCGGCTACATTTAGAGAGATACATTAGTTTCCCACTACCCAGCTGTTATATTGATTCTGTATAATTGTACACGCTCGACTGCCGTAGTAAAACTCATAATTCTTAGTTTTGTAGGGTATACAATAAATATGGCACATTGTGTACATACGTTCCATGATAGGGCATTTTGTCAAAATGCCCTCTGAACACAACTCTGGCATTTGGGATTCAAGAGGGAACGCGTTTCATCATGTTTTAGGTCAATTTATTCGTGTTAGCGCTACGGCCGAAGGGTGGATTGTACGTAACATAATTTTCCACTATTATTACTGCCTACCGGTAAGGAGCGCATGTACAATTGTCCAGTAAATATACGCAGCCTTACACGTAGTCGTCAGATTAACACTTTTTCTTCGGAAGAAGGTTAGGTAGACGATACACCGCACCGATACGTCATATGGATCAAAAGATTTTCTAAACAAGTGAGCCGTTGCTCCGGACGAATCATCATTTTTCCACCGTCCTCGTGCGGTAATCAAGGAGATTAATTTAAAAAATTATTTAGATTTTTATTGAGTATCAGTGTATGAGCTAAAGGAGAGTTGCATGATAAAAAGATAATCAACTAGGCATCGTTTGAAGGCTTTCAGATTTATACACAAATGGAAAACCCAGAAATCAATGAAACGATAAGTAGGGCACAAAAGGCAGATGTAGTACTCTTGTTTCGCAGTATATTCTGTTCCGCCTACTAGGACATGATTTATTGGCGTTTAGAATGCGTACCTGACAAATAGTTCGGCTGTTGTCGTTGTCCTATAAAATTCATGTGTTTCGTGCTATCTCGAGTGCGTAGGTGTGTCCATGTGTTAGTCAGTAAGCATTATAGGAAACGTGCTTATCGAAGAAGCAACAGGTTTCTCTTTCGAAGAAAATTAAGTTTCCTGGATATCGGCAAGGCTTTTAACACGACGACAGCCATTAATGCACTGAAGTGCTGTGACCGTTTCAGCTTTCCCGCTATTGGTGGTGTTTTAGCTTCTGCAGAACGTTGATGAATTGGTTTGACCTGCCCTCCGGGACCCGTTGGCTCAACTATGGGTCATATTGGTATTTCAGCGTCTCTGGGTTGGCAGCAAAAACCCCGAACAGTTGCGAGTGGAACGATGACAGGTTATGTTCACCTAACCGTTTTGTATTTTGCAGTATTCCTAGTTCTCCTCAAGCTTTACATCAAGCTGTAACAGCGACACACAGTTTATTTACAATCAGTTTACCATGCGGATTATTAATATCATCACAAAACAGGAAAAGCAAGGGAAAAAACTTCATTTTCTGCTTTACCTATTCGCATTTTGGGCCTGTTTGTGGGTCCCATTAAACTCGTAGCACTAGATGATATCTTGACAAAAATGTAATGTGGGCTGGGCTCGAATACCAAAGTCAAACCGATCACTAGCGAAAATAGTGCTTGTTGAAGTGCTATAGGAAAAAGTTTTCGACCGTTTTTCGTTTCTGCTAGCCCGCTACAGGACAATGTTTATGCCGTTATCGGTTTGTTGTTGATACACGCGCTGTAACAAACAAAAGAACAAAGTTGACTTAGAAGGATCTCGAGGATTGCAACCTGGGAATCTTCTGTGGTAGACACTGTACAATGGACGAACAACGAAAAGGTCGTCGACAAAAATTAACCTGCTCCGCACGAAATTCAAGTTAAGCTACTTGTAACAGGCTTGTCTGGATGCAAAATAATGGTTTCGTTAAAGTATTACTGATGTAAGACCTGCTACTTTTTTTTCGTATGATTTTCCACCCGAGATTCATGTCGCTCCAGAATGAGATATTAAAATCATCAAACGGTTATTTTGAAAACAGCAATTTAACCAGCATACCTGCAGATAGTAACGGTATATTCAAGTTGAATTTCGCAACGTTCTTATATCCACGACGGTAGCGTGACGAAAGCCACTATTGAAGTACGCGAAAAACACGACTAAATAAACACTAAACTGGTATGAAATTATTATCCTAGTTACATTCGTATAAACATAAAAAATGATTATACGTGACGCGAGTCTGACATGGCTTTTTTTACGAAAATGTTCCGAAAATTTTGTCTCACTTCTAATTAACCATACGTAGCACTCATACAGTTTCCGATCGGATGGGTCAGCATTATCATGACATAGATCGAAAAACAATGAACGGACATATACTTTCGATCCTTTCAGTGTATGTCTTCTGTAAGCTCGTTGTTTTCCCCGATGGCGCGTACCCCCTTTTCACGAGACGGCAGCGGCAAGGGTGATTGATCCGTTTCTTTCTCCCACAGCTAATTTTCCTCAAATACACGACATCGGCCTAGCAGGCGTCATCGTCACGAAACTTTTCTCAAAAGTATTTCCACCGGCATTTTTCTTTCGTTCTTCCGCAGTTCGTTCTTGACGAGACAGTCACAATCGTCAAGCCATTTCCCATCAGTCTTCTTCAGCGAAGCATCGCTACTATCGTTGTTGAGTCAGCTCGTGACCTCTCGTTGTCACCGGGTCCAGCGTCCACTTAACGCTGTCATAAGGTATATGGGCAACAGCAGTGATGGCACCTGTGATAAGTCACCGATCACAATGTTCTGGGAACCATCAACAGTCGCTGGGCAAACGAACAATGCTGTTGAGAGGAAGCGAGGCACGAATCGAGAAGCCAACACTGAGAAAGGATAGTTAACTGTCCATGTGTGTATGTCTTCTCTTCTATATAAATGCAACAATATCCATTAGTACTGGCAGTGAAAAAATAGTTCTCGCTGAGCAGGCTAATGTACGTTAGATCAATAGATGAATGGTAAGGAAAAATTTAGAAATAAATCGAGTGTATATATTGAATGAGGATGAAGTATTTTCTTGCACTCACAATTGTTGGAATTGTAGATTATAATGATGATTGCGTCAACTGAGGGAACGTCGTTCATTCCTTTTACCTGACGATGTTGACATTCAAAAGGATTGCATGCTGAAAGTGGTCTATTAAACAAAACGTAAAATGTACCACTTTTACATGAAAGAAAAGCTTTTACGAAAACTTTTGTTAGAATAAACGTCTTCTTATCATACTATAGATTTTGTTATAGAATACCATGCATCTTTGATTTTAATGTACGTAGTATATGTTATTCGACACTGAGTGGATGTAGATTGTTAAAGATCTGCGCTGAAACCTATAGGTATAGAACATTTTTGCAAAAATGCTCTGCTTTTTTAAAGTTTACCAGGTACGCCAAGTCCACATTACGAAAAACTTAATTCTTTTGTGTTGCGAATCTGTTCTTTCAAACATGGCGGCTTTTGAAATTAAGAATTATGTCGTTACTTTACGATTTTATCAAGAACGACACCGAATGATAGGCTATAAAGTTATTAACTGTCTCCGAATTATACGTTCTTTCAAAGCTCGTGCACAGCCTATTCAAATAGGGCTTTTTTTTTTTTTTTTTTTAAAATTAATATTATTCTTTACTTATTTAATGAATACTGTCTGCACCGTATTTGTCCTGAATCCAAAATTGGCGGTACGTTTTGAACTGATTACTGGTGTTGTTCATACCAAACATAACCTAATTCTTTTCGTCATGTAAAGTCATGCCTCCTTTAAAAAAACCCTAGGAGCTTTTAACTGTTATAGCCATAAAGGTTGATTCTAACAAAAGCTCGTCTCTGCTTAGATCCTTAGCAAATATTTTTATTGCAGGCATCGGTATCGCTGTATAATATTGCTCCAATATTGACCCGTCAATACGACTCTAGACGAATAGAGACTCGATACGAATTTACAAACATTATGCATTAGTAGCAAATACAATATTTGGCGCCATCCTATTTTTCGAATTTCCGCTGATGTATCGACGCGCGCTTTTTTCTCTGGTTTTGAACTTAGACTGCTTCACATGTCCCTGTAGATGACACCACCCTATCCCCTTATCACTGTGTTCTCTCGGGGATGTCTCGAGTGCTGTTAAACTGTACTCAAGTAGTATCCAAAAAACCCACCTGTTTTTTTTCAAGGTAAGAACTTTTATAATGAATATGGTAAAATTTTTTATAGTATGATCTTGCTAGTTCTATTCTATTGATAATGATGTAGAGAAACAAATTTAGTAAAATAACCGTAAATACGCCATATTAATTTTAGTCCGCTGCTTGCCTGAATAATGAATAGTTCACGTATTGCAGCAAACAGATGCATTTATAGGAAGAGTAGACTTGCCGATGCACATTGGCATATTCTTTGCCCACTTCTAAGAGTACATACGTACGAATCCCTGCACCTTGAACAAATATTAGTTCAATAACCAGCGCCCTACGGAACTTTGACTGCTATTCAACAGAAAAAACAAATGATGTCAACATTCACTTCTGACAGAATTTTCCGATCAGAGGCGAAAATGTAGTATCCATTTTCAGTCATATCCGCACAGTTAATATCAGTGCCGACGCAAACGTATCAGGCATCACGTTAATCTAGCGTCCATATATGGGTTATAATTACAGCTATGTGAGCAGTCGATATATTTGTTGTTTAGCTAGATCGTGACTGCCGCCGTTTAGATGAAGATTATTGGGACTAGATTTCTTGCCAATCTTAGTGGGTATAAAAAATACATTAGATTTTATTATGGAGTCGTCCTGCAAACAGAGCGCTGTTGACAAGTGACGAGTGCTTATGATTGATGTTTCCCCTATCTTTTCTTTTCTCGTATGAATAATAGGTTACCGCTACGTTGTCATTTTTTTCTACCACACGCGACAGGGTAACAAGTATCAAGTTATGCAGAACTCAGCCGGCAGAACTCAACATCAAATAGGTCAAAAAATCCAAAAATTGGCCTGAAGAGCATAATCGGGTGGCTGGCTAACGAAGTTGTCGTACGACAGTTCTATTTGGGAGCAGTACGTCGCTATATTAGCGCACCTTGTCTATTAGTATACACAAGCCCATCTCCGATTTTTACGTGGGCTAGCCTTTTGATTCTGAATTGCACCCGAATACTCTCACGTTACGCCATCGGCCAGTCATTCTACTTTATTACGTCGTCTGAACGCCGTACAACTCCCTGGGGAGTGTTAAAGGGGGAGACTAGCAAACTGGGATGCGATTTCTACCTCCATTCGACTGCAACGGGGTCAAACAATCAGCGAGTGAAAGCCAACATTGGTGAGCCAGATCGCTGGCATAATGAAGTATGAATAAGGGGATTTTTGCATCGCTACATGTAGCTTGATTTACGGCACGTTCGGGGTGGCTTAGAGGTGCATAAGTGTCCTCCTGAGCTATATATGTCGTGTGGGCTCGAGGAAGGGCATTAATCTGACCTAGTAACTTCAGATAAGATAGAAAATCGTGTTCATATTAGCAGCGTATATTGTTAGCACAGAGTTTGTGCCTCAAATAGGGAAATGCGGATGATTGGCTCATGAAATGCTCAATTTTTGATTCGTTATTGATATATTTTTCACTTATGCCTGTTTTCACAGCAGTAAGATCTTATAGAAATGTTTCGTGCTGTTCGACTTTGATAGTAGAGATGTATCTGAATCTTTCTGGGATGAGCGAACTGGTCATATAGGGATTAATTGAGATTAGTGAATGAAAAAATGCCTGAAGCTTGCTGATATCGATCAGACTGATTCGATTGCCCATGATGGATTTCGATTTGGTAAATCGAGCTGATCGTACTTAGCTTTGTATATATATATATATATATGGTATAAGTTATGTGCTAATTATGGTCCCATGTATGGACGCTTGATGCTAAAAATAGAGAATATTGCTGATGATTGAAATCATAAATCATACTACTTGGAATATATCGTATGATTTGTGATCAATGCTCTTCTATGTCATGTGAATTTATTGAATAAACGCGCATGCTTGAGACTGTGAACCCGTTCACTAAAGACAAATTCGGATAATTTATATACAGTCATATATTTATAAACATCAAATCAGCGTCATATATACGCTACGGCCTTGGTTAAATAAAGCTGGTTAAATAATAGGAAGATGTCAATTTTTACGTTTTGTTAACTATAAAGTAATCATACATTTGTGCAATATATATAGTGGACTCCGTCAATGTGTGGCTAGTAATTAAGGTGCTACGTCCCTGAACAGAATCTGCCCTATGCCTGAAAGTGCATCTATCTTGTTCTGTAGAGGACGTACCGCGGGATGTAGCAGAAGACGGCTGGCTAAGCCCTTTGCGCTTCCGGGACAGACCTCGCATAGAGAGGCATAGCATGCCGAACTCCTAGTACATGGAACTGTTCGCTGGGTGAGAGAATTGTCATAAAAGTTCCGCTTTTAGCGACTCAGCTCATCATGGCAGCAGGAATGCAGAGGAACACAGGCGATAATATATTTACTAATTGCGGGCAATCTTTCTTAGTATATAACGATTGTTAATTGTTCTTACGGGCCGCCGATGGAGTTAAACTCTGAGGGTTGATGATATATCGTTTTATTTTGGTTGTGTATATGCGTATATAATTCGTATCTATATTATCCTTCATTTTATTCAGCACAAAGCTATATGAAGGTATGAAATGTTTTATGTGGCTGTAAACGAGTGTTACATGACGTAAATTTTGTAGGGACTTTTTGTATTTTGACAATTGTATTTTACCTCTTATTATTACTAAATTTTTATTTAGTTTTTACTAGATAATCACTTACGCTTATGGATAGTTAGCGAAGCTGTGTTTTTGGATTTAAGCGCTCAATGTATCATCTCAAGACATGTGCTCCCTTTCTCATATAGAATCTATTTTAATTGTCTTGAGATAAACTTGTTTTTGGCTTGGTTTTTTTGAAACATTGCAAAAAAGTTTAAAACACACCACGATGTATGCTAGACAAGCTGTATAAATACAAGTTGTTTTTTAAAACGTTTTTCTATATTTGACAGAAATTGCGAGATACGTGCTTTGCATCATAATGACTGTAGAGGTCGATTCCGGCAAGAATTACCCCGTGCTACATCAGTAACTAACTGACCAACAAACATATCCCGTTTTCCTTCTTCACCTAACCAACCTAACTGACAAACCGTTGTTTTTTTAACCGAATGGTTAAAAACTCTGAAAAAACAAAGCATAGAAAGCTAACGGTTCTAGACCGACCGCTGCTCCTCTATCGTGACGAATTAATGTTTTAGGCGATTTCTCATGATCTGAATGAAAACGAAAAGAATCATTTAGTCAATCTGGTATTGCCGTCACCTGTAT